GATTGCACCCTAAGGATGCTTATTATTCTTTCATGTGCCAGTCTCAATCAAACACCAGATGAACTCAGTGTGAGTGTCCTTATTCAACACAGCAAACCCCCAGATTCATTTGCATACTCTTTCTTAACCTTTCATAAATGCTTATTTTGACAATTTGAAATCTTAATACAAGCTTATTTAATATTTAGTATTTCACTCAAAATGTTTTATGGACTGCAGTGTCAAGCGCAGGGCACTCAGAAAGTAGACAAGCTTGTACTTACTGATGCAAATCTTAATTTAGCAATCTCTTGAAGTCATCTGAAAGGCTGAATAATTTAGGAAACTTCTAGGAGAAAAGATGACTCTGTGATCATCACTGCAGAGAGAATAACAACTCCTCCTTCCCAAATTCTCTGCCTGAGAGTAGGCAATATGGTTCCTTTAAGATGCTTTGGACTCCAGCTCTCATAACCTGTGAACATTGAGCTGGCAAGGGCTTGTGGGAGTTAAAGTCCAAAGCTGCTAGAAGGCACCAAGTTGCCTACTCCAGTTGGACACTGCCACTAAAACCTTACCTTGTTATGCTCTATTCTGAAATCTAAGTCCATTTAGCAGTGAATTAGTCTCTTAAAGATCCAGGGGTTTCTTCCAGCTGGATGAGCTCCTATCATACAGAACATGTAGCAAGTTATAAAACAGTGAATGGGTTCCAACAATAAGCCACACTTAGTGATTGAGTATGGGTGGAATGTGGGTTGTCACTGAACTGCAGGTTATCATATTGTCTGAACCCAGGCAAGATAACAGTGTGTAGTGAACAACCCACAGATTTGACAACCCAGCAACAAACATGGGTTCCCTTCATGAATTTTTGGTGACTAACAAGGAATGGTTTATTATACAGTCAGATTCAGTCAATGTAATAACCAACATTTCAACCACAATTCACAGTTCAACAACATGCGCTCATGCATTGTGGACTGTGGTGATCTGATGATGTTGCCTGAACCAGTAAGTATTTCAAGGACAGGAGCCCTATTTGTTTGTCTGGGGTTTTCAGTTAAAAAAAAAAAACTTTGAGGACAAGTGTCTAAACATGTATGATTTTAAAAAGTGTCCTTAGTATAACCTTGCTTTGGTAGAATAACAAATGGACAGTGCAAAAGCTTAGAAGGTTGTGCTGACAGTTGCTATATTTTCTAGTCTATTGTCTCAGTCCATGTGTAAAAATGTGTGTGTGTCTTCTTATGGGATCCATTTCAGTGGGGAATGGCCTGTTCCTGTGCAAGCTGACATGCTTCTGTTGCCCTGTTCTGATCTGCTTAGCATTAGAACAGACACACGACCATCTGCTGCACTTTGCAGATATGTGACTGTACATGCCATATCCTGCTCTCAGAACCAGCAGGTATAAGTTACGTGTGCATGTATGACAAGCTTAGTATTGCAGTGCTTAAGTTATCAATTGTTACTTTAACATATACATGCATCCATTATATTTGATTCAGTGGCACTTCCCCCACTGGAAGCATCCTCCCTTATTCAATATATGCAAGAGGTTTAGGTCTAGTTCATATAATAACGATATATTATATAGTCTATATATTATATATAGACTCCACGTGAGCAATTCCAGTATTTCTTATAGTGTGTGCTCAGACTGTATAACATGAACAGCATTTCCATGATCGCTCTGATGCTTTTTCAGCTTGCTGTACATATTTTCTTCTGGTGGTATTTCCACCACCAAGCAAAGTAGTACTGTGACTTCCCATGGTTTTCATGGGTGTATTCAGGTGATCATTTTGCAGCCTGTTCAGCTGAGGTACTAATGAGATTTTTGCCTTCTTCCTTCATTTGCAGTATGCCTCTATTACCCAATTAATTTGTAATAATAGGTACTTGTGTCCTCTGAACAAATAATTACATTACCAGCTTCAGAACTGTCTAGGTTCTTAACCAACTTCATACTGTGGTTTAAGATTCAGGCTTGTTCAGATTGAATTTTAATGAAATTAGAAACTATGATAAAGTAGATGCTTCCTGGCTTTTTGGGGTATACAGAGAAGGGGCTGTGTTTAACAGTAGAAAGCAAATGTAAACTAGACCTACCTGTGATTTTTTTGTTAGTTTATTTCAGCACAGTAATTACATTTTTGAGATATACTATCTGTATGATTTATTCATGTGTGGCTTTTCATCCTTTAAGTTAGTACTCCTCTTTACTCCTCTTTTCTCCAGTATACCACACTTTGGGTTCTTGCCTGAAATTTATAAGCCACTGCTGACTGTAATTTTTTGTGGGTGTTGGATGGAACTCCAGCTGCTGCAGCATTTGTCAGAGTTTTAATACTTAATTTCTACTTAATGTAACTTGGGGAACTGGTCTGCTTATGCATATCAACTTTAGATAGCTCCATTATGTAGCTTCAAGTCTTTATATTGTACCCTTCTGGGAGAACTATAGAAGCGACCACATTTGGGATGAGAATGACCTTCCAGTTGTTAAATGGATGGGGGAACCTGTACTTGGAAAATTAACAATTTGTAGTTACTATGTCAAAAGCAGGAATGTACAAAATATTTTCACAACTGCAGTATTTGTATCTGAGGCAGCAAGATTGACTGAATGCTGCATAATGCTTATGGGATACAGGAATACAGAGGGAAATTGTCTCCTGTCAGTGTAGAAGTATAACATACTAATTTCATTCTTTTGTCGATGATTGGCTGATTTATGAATGTATGTGCACTGACTACTTAAAGTCTGGGGCCAGTGTACATATCACAGTGAATCTGATGCAGTCAGCACAGGAGTATACAGGATTATCTCAGGCTTACGGCAATGCCAAAATTACACAGAAGTTGTGCAAGCTTCCTACAATTATTGTATAGATAAGGCTGCCTCAGTTTTGCTAAATGGAAATGGATAAACATGGAACCAATGAATAAACATCTCATGGGTTGTCATTATGTACAAGCTGAGTCAAAGGGTGTTTTCAAGAGCAGCCCAACCACACATGAGATGGTGACCATATTCTTAAAGTAACAGAATGGAGGTCACCATGCTTTGTGAGCTAGCCCTTGATTTATAGCTGAATATGGAAAAAATAACTGTGGAAAAGCATGGCATTTGAATGATGATAAGACAAATATATGACTTGTCTGTGGTATTTGTTCTGAGATAATTTATTTTCTTGTAGCATTCTTGCCTTGATGCTTGAGATGATTCCCCCAAACTTTAGCAGGAGCGTTTGCAAATGGAGGGATAGAGGAAGAGGACTCTTGAGAGCACCAGTGAACATGAAGAACAGCATGTGCATTCCTTTGGAATATAACTAGTTTTAAAATAATAGAGCACCACACTGCCAAATATACAGACATGTCTGAACAGTTATGCTCATGCTACAGTTTGTCACTGAATATGTCTGATCTTTGCAGGGGGATGATGCAATTGAAGTGACAGCTAAACCAAAGAGAAGTTTCTATGCTGCAAGAGATTTGTACAAATATCGGCATCAATATCCAGTAAGCGTGTTTTGTAACATTGGAGTATTTATTAGGGTAGTATTATAATAGATTTTAAGTCTCTGAAGTTCTTTATAGTTCCAGTGGAATGCCTCATATCTTCAAATTCCATCAGATAAACAATAAAGTAAAAATATATATTCTTTACTACATATTACAAAAATTAGAACAATTCTTTACTACATATTACTATATTACTAAAGAAGTATTAGGGAAGGTAATGACAGATACTGGGGAACTCTGTAGCTCCCATCATTGTCTTCTGTTATTAGAATTAGAGTTACTGATATATTTGTATTAATGCCATTGCATTGAGTCCTTTATTTATTTATTTATATCCTGCCTTTTTCCTACAAAGGGCTCAAGGCAGCTTACATCTCCTCCTCCATCTTATCCCCACAACAACAACCCTGTGAGGTAGGTTGGGCTGAGAGTCTGTGACTGGCCCAAAGTCACCCAGTTGGCTCCATGGCTGAGCGGGGACTAGAACCCAGATTGTCTGAGTCCCAGTCCCATGCTCTTAACCACTACATCACACTGGCTCTCTGGCTTTCCTATACAACAGTCAAAATTTGCTAGGTTTTGTATTACCACAGATAATTGTCCTGCCCAACTCCTAACTTCCATATCTGAATTAACAATTGACACATTCCCACCTGTAGCAGGACATTAAGAGTCCAAGGTTAGAAAGTCACCAGAAACAGAACAAAATTTTGTAACACAAGTCTTGCATAGTGAGATTATGAATGTTTGCACCAGGTAAGTGAAAACTGTAGCTTTGAAAATGACAAAAAAAGTAAGAAGGGGAGATAAGATCAACCTGTATGTAAGCATTTTACTAGATGTTTTGTGAACAAACTCCTGCAGTTCAGCTGTTTTGGCTGTAACATTTCTTCATAATAGGCTCCACTCAACACCTGTTGGGCTTCTGTAACAATGTACCCTATGCATATCTATTGAGAACTCTTGCTGAGTTCATTGCAGTTTACTTCAAGCTAAATGGTATAGGATTGCAGCCTAACTGTATCTCTAACTCTGACCTACACCCTAACTTCCTTTAGATATGGTTTCTTATAATGTGTTTTCCTTAAATTCCCTTAAAATACAGAAACACAGTCTTCTTTTTAAAAAGATATATTCTTAGTACACTTGAATTACCTCCATCTCCCCACACCCTGCTCTTTTGTCATGCCCATTCAGCCTCTTTTGAATTACCTTCCCCAGTCCCAAGACCAAAATTACACACCACATGTTATTCCATTATTGTTACCCCCACCATCTCAAGCTTTTACTTAATACAAAGCAGAGATGAGTGACTTTGGGTTGAGAAGTGGGCCAGGATGGGTAACTAGAGAAGGATTTTGAATGGAAGAATTGCTGGCAAAGGAGGGTTAAACAGACTGTTGCTCTCACTTTTCCACTCAGCTTGAAAGCACTGATAGCTGCTTTGCATGAGAAAGTCCTGTATATCCCAGTCACAGAATGAACATAGTTCTGCATGTATAAATACCAGTAATTTGTACACTGAGGCATAGAATCATACAGTTGGAAGGGGCCTAGCAGGCCATCAAGTCCATCCACCTGCTCAATGCTGGACTCAAGTTACCCATCCAGATTTCAACCCAGTCTGACCCTGCTTAGCTTCCAAGATTAAAGGCAGGATCAGGCACCTCAGGTTATGTGTAATGGCAAGCATTTTTGCAAGACATATTGGACCAGATGCACAAATACTTGATTTTTTAATTATATTTTTCTGGATTCTGGTTTGATTTTCATAGGGTAAGAATCTTCCCGAGTCAATTCTTAATCAGTTTGAAATCTGGTCTAAAGTAATTGTAATAGTATTTATTCTGCAACTCCAGCAGAGATAAATTACATACAACTTTTCAAGTTGTAGTTTAAGGTTAAATTTTGGTCAGCCTAAATTAAACTCTTACATTATACTAAGCATATTGATAATGACATCAACTGCAGCCTATTTCATACAGACTTGTTTGACTGATCATACTTTGCTTTTTTCCTCATCTCTGCTCAGCAGAATTTTAAAGATCTACGATATCAGAATGATTTGTGCAACCTCCGCTTTTACAAGAATAAAATACCCTTTAAACCTGATGGTAAGTAGTCTTTGGCATTATCATATTATTGCTTAAATTATGTAGGGTCCTGAATCTGTAAATCACGATAGTTGGCGTCAGTGGTTTTACAAACCTGTCACACACATGTTTACTTGAGAAGTCAGTCATAACTAAATTCAGTTGATCTTACTGCTAAAAAAATTACACAAGATGCAAGCCTTATGCATGCTTTGTTTAAGACAACTACATTAATCCATCACACTGAAGTACCAATGTATGTAGAATGTTTGTGAACTGTAGCTGTCACTGCTTTTGGTTTTCTGCTCCTATTTGAACTGGTAACAAAACTTCGATTACTTGTGGTTTCAGAGAAATAACAGGTCAACATGGATTTTAGACTAATCTGGATGACATTATTTTCAAACTTTATGAAGTTCTAGTTATATTACTAGTGACTTCTACACTGTCCACAACAATTAATGTCCCACTGCTTAGGTACTATTGGTGCCAAAATTTGGTAAGTGTGTGCGTCTGGTTGTCTTGTTCTGCTTTAGGTAGTGATAATTTAAGTGTTAGCGCTTTTTAAAGAAACTCTGGCTCATTTCCCTTAGCCATGTGCATTAGTTTTATTCAAATAACAGTTGGCAATTTATAGAATATAACCATTTCTTCTGCTCTTACATGTCTGGGGGAATGGCTTTGCCCTACCTCTTCAGAGGTGAAGACACAAGGTTCATAGAGGCTGGGTCATGGCATTTGCACCATGGGGGTTTTTGGGGTGGGAGGAGCTAAGAGCTGTTAGTTCTTTGCTTGGATTACTGCAACATGCTCTACATGGGGCTGCCCTTGAAAATGAACCAGATACTTCCGCTGGTGCAGAACAGAGCTGCTGGGCTGCTGACAGGGACCGGTCGTTATTCTCATATAACGCTGGTCCTCTACCAGCTCCACTGGCTCCCAGTTGAAGTCCGGGTCCAATTCAAGGTGCTGGTTTTAACCTATAAAGTCCTGAACAGCTTGGGACCTGGATACCTGAAGGAGCGCCTCTTCCCTTACATGCCCTCAGGCCCCTTAAGATCTGCAGGAGATCTGTGGGAGAGGCTTTGCTCCGGGAGCCCTCTTTAAAGGAGATAAAAAGAACAACTACCTGGAGCAGGGCCTTCTCTGTGGTGACACCCAGATTATGGAATGCACTCCCTGGAGAGGTGCGCCTGGTGCCAAGTCTATATTCTTTTTGGTGCCAGGTTAAAACCTTTTTATTTAATGACTATTTTAAAAATTAATTTTATCGATAATAGTCACTATTTTTTGTTTTTATATAATCTTATTGAATTTGTTACTGTTTTTAATTCTACGTTTGTAAGCCGTCCTGAGATGCCAAGGCATGTGGTGACAGAATATAAAAGTTTTAAATAAATAAATAAATAAATAAATAGTGGCAAATCATTTGTATTTATAAAGTTGCTCCCTGATTGTTGTATTACTGAAGCTAGGCTACCCTGTGGTTCTCACCACAACCTTCCTTCTCTCCCACAGGAAGGAAGGGAATAGATTATTCTGAGATACTGAGGTTGAAACCCAGCCCCTGCCTTCTTACACAGTTGAGAATACTTATCCCCACTGCACTTAACTTCAGATGCTCAGGAAGTGCCAAGAAGTTGCTTGGCTTTCCCAGTGCCTCCAAGGCTTTACATAACATCAGAGAGAAAGGCCACTTTTTCCTGTGCTTCTGAAGTCAGCATTATGGAGAGTTCTTCTGTTTCTCCAGACATGGAAGGAGGTTGAGGTTTCTGTACTCTTGTCAAAATAAAAGATGTACCTGCCAGTGTGGATCCTTGGCCTAATTCATCCCATACTGCCTTGTGAGGAGTGATTGTAATATTGTTACTCATTTTAACCAACATACTTCTCTACAAAATATGCTTTTGTGTTAATGTCACACCATTTTTATGTATGCAAAATGTATTTGCTATGGCATTTTAAATAGTATTAAAGATTTGTATTTGCTCACATATATTTAAAGGTGTTTATATTGAAGAAGTCCTAAATAAATGGAAAGGAGACTATGAGAAATTGGAACACAATCACACTTACATACAATGGTTGGTAACTTTTTACTTGTTCATTACTTTAATAGATCTGCTTCAGCTTGCTTAATCTGCAGCAAATAAGTGTGCATTTGTTTTTAATACAGGCTTTTTCCACTAAGAGAGCAAGGACTGAATTTCTATGCAAAGGAATTAACAACATACGAAATTGAGGTAAAACAGATGGTTTGTAATATAACCTCACTATTTGGTGGTTTGGGGTTTTCCTTTTGGCCAACCAGGCTATCTTCACTTTATGTATCTGTAATGTTTTGTTATTTGTGCTTTCTTTTTAAAAATGTGTTACAGGAATTCAAAAAAACAAAAGAAGCAATTAGAAGATTTCTGTTGGCTTACAAAATGATGCTGGAATTTTTTGGTATAAAGTTAATTGATAAAAATGGGAATGTAGCACGAGCTTCTAACTGGCAAGAAAGATTCCAACACTTGAATGAGTAAGTAAGTCTTGCAATAGATATGTCAAAGGCCTGGATCTGTCAGTCTTCTACCCAGACGTTTTCCTACACCATGGTTGTCATGGTGGCTCCACCTTCAACTCTGCGGTACAAAATTGGTAATGTTTGAATAGGCTGTACAGTGGTACCTCGGCTCACAAACTTAATCCATTCCAGCCAAGTCAAATTTCCCCATAAGGTTCAATGTAAATAAAGTTAATTCATTCTGTAAATATTTTTTAATCACAAAAATTTGAAACAAAGTAACAAAGAACAACAAAGTAGCAAAGTACAGTACTGTAGAGAACATTAACCAAGGTGTGGGGGAGGTTGTTTGGAGGGAGAGTCCAAATGATAATCATGCGATAGTGATTGCGCTGTTGGGGGCGGGGAGGGGGAGATGGCTGTGATCGCGCTCATGCAGGGAAGACGGGTGCGAGTGCAGTCGCGCTCATGCAGGTGAAGGGAAGATGGGCGCTTTCATGCTTGTGGGGGAAGACAGTCGTGATTGTGTTCATGCTACAACATGGCTGTGATCATGGTCATCACCCGATGCGGAGTTCACAACCTGAGGCAAAATTTTTCTGAGATTTCTGTTCGTGACCCAATTTGGTCGTGAACTGAGGTGTTCGTGAGCTGAGGTACCACTGTACTTGACTAAAAGTCAGCAAGTATAGGCCTGTATCACACAGCACATCCCACGATTCTAAATAGATAGCTTTTTGTGCTTATCAGAAGTGCAACTTTATGCTTATATGTTCTACACAAATGTTCTACACGTGCGAATACCCAGTAATCACAAAGGCAGGAAATGCACACCTGCTGAGGAGGAATGATTTTTTTTCCTTTTTCTCTTTATAGAGTCGAGAAAGAGTCTTATATTTGTCAGGTCCAAACTAGAGAGTCCTTGCTCCAGAAAGGGCGGGGGCAGGATTCAGAAGAATGTTATGAAAGAGATGCAGATGAGATTTTATTGGACACTGTTACTTCCTTTGGATATGTTCTTATCCTTTGTTCTTATCAACCTCATCAAGACACAAGTATTCACTGAGCATACCTATGATATATAATCATGCAATATCTTTGGAGTTGAGGGTAGAATTAATCATTATGGGAGCCAAGGAACTGCTGCTAAAATGGCATCCCAGTATAGTTCTTCCTTTCTTTTTTCTATTCATTGAAAATACGTCTTGGCCACCTTTCAGGGCAGGAATAACCTAAGGAGTAGTAGTTACATGCTATTAAGTCCTCTCTGACTTATGGTCACCCTATGAATGAAAGCCCTCCAGAATGTCCTATACCTGTGCTTAGCTGTTCTAACTTCAAAGCTGTGGCTTCCTTTATGAAGTCAATCGATCTCTTATTTGGTCTTCCTTTTCTCCTTCTGCCTTTGATGGTCAGTTGGCATAATAAAAATTGATGCCGTAATAAAGACAGCAGCAATTCCAAAATTTGTGACACACACCAGTGACCTACAACACACTACTGCAGCTGGAACCTAGTTTGGGAAAATATAATGGGGGTGAGGCCAGAGTAATGTTGTGAGTTTTCAGACCTTTCCAAAGCCACCTTTGCAGCCTTTCCAAAGTTGCAGCCTTTGCTGGCAACTTACTGCAGAAGTGTTGGGACCTGTGGGGAAAAGGACCTTTCCTATATGCTCACCTGTCTAACTGCCCTCAAAGGTAGGAACATTAGATGGGTTTCTCTCACTGGTCTTAAGTGTGGGTGGACTGATATGGATGAAGACAGCCCTTCAAGTAATTTGGTCCCAAACTATTTAAGGCTTTAATGGTCAAAAGTAGCACTTTAAATTGGGCTCAAATTCACACTGGCAAGTAGTGCAGTTGGCTCAGCATAGGTGTTACATGATCTGATCACCTCGTGCCCACTAACATTTAAGCAGCCACATTCTGCACCAGCAAAGTTCCAGACTGTCTTCAAAGCAACCCCATGTACAGCATATTACATTAGTGCAGTCTGGATGTCACTGTTGCATAGGTAACTAAGATAGGTCTGTCTGCTCTAGCCTAAAACACCACAGCCACCTGTGCTTCACCAGTTAGTGCAGATTCCGGGAGTACTCCCAGATTACATGCTCAGTCAGGGAGTGGAACCCCATCTAAGACTAGCTGTAAACTTCTACCCAGGTAGTTTGTTTCCTGACCCACAGGCTCCCTGGAATGAAATGAGAGGTTCAGCTGAGTATCATGCATGATGACAGTTCTGCCCAAGCCACCTGATGTTGAAAAGTGAGGGACAGGAAGGAACATTGTGGCATCCCACAGAGTAACGACCATGGGGTGGAACAGAATCACCCTCTAAGGCTGCTCCTCCAGGAAGGACTGGGACAATTGTAACACCCTGGTTCTGAAGTACCCCACACACATGACCCAGAAGGATACAATGATTAATTGTATCAATAAGCATTGAGACATTTAGAAGAATCAAGAGGTTTGTACCCTCTAACCATTCCATAGTGTGATCATCAGTCAGGGTGACCAAGGCTGCTTCCATCTTATAACCTGGTCTGAAACCTGATTGGAGTGGATATAAATAATCAATATCATCCAACACTGCTTGCAGTTGTGAGGTCATCGCCAGCTCTTGCACCATGCCCAAAAATGGCACATTGGACACAGGACAGTCGTTGCCAATTACCATAGGTTATAGATTTGGTTTCTTCAGGAAGGGCCTTGCTACAGCTTCTTTCAAAGTTGTGGGAACCTCACTGTTCCTCAGAGAGGCATTGGAGGTCTAGGTGCCAAGCCAAGATGGACAAGAATCCAAGTGGTTTGTCCACATCCTCAAATTGCACAAGCTGAAGGTATCTGTAACATGATCAGAAGACAGACTCAGAATATCAAGATAATGGCATAAAGTTGGTATGAATGTGAGTGACTTCAGCTGCAAAATGACTAGCAATGGTTTTGAGAGTTGAATTGCTAAATGGTCTTTAACCACCCAAAATAATTCCACTTGGCAAATGCAAGGGTGGCAGAGAAAATTTCTTTGTCACCGTCCCTGCTACAAAACATAGCAAATGGATTCTGACCTGTCTTTAATATTAATTATAGGTCTTCCACAATTTGCACTGTCAACACAGCCATTTGTTCATCTGCTCAGACTACCAAGAAATTGACATGGTTCTGTGTATAGGTCAAGACCACTAGGGAGAAGTCATATCAATAGCTTGGATTATTCTTTCATTCCAAGTGGTGACCAGGACCTCAGAAGGACTGCCTATAGGAAAATCCCCAAGAGACCTCAGAAATGTAACCAGATTCATCACCTTTCAAAGGTGGACCATCAAACTTATAACCGCTACAAGGATGGGGGACCAAGTAGCCTGGAGGTTAAAACTGGTTCCACCACCTATAAATTGTTATCTTCTAATCCAGCACAGAAAACCAAGTCCAAGGTGTTTCTGTCATCTATCTTGGGACAGATACTGGTTGATACTGATTTCAGGCCCATGATGGTGGTCATGAAATTTTGAATTGCTCCTTAAAAGGCTTTGGCATGAAGATTAAAGTCCTCCAGGACCACAAATTTTGGAGTTCTCATTGCTGTACTCAAGACCACCCCAGTCTGCTCAGACAGGGAGGCTGTTAGGCAGTGGGAGAGGTAGGGACACCATACCTTCTAGCTGTGAAATCATAATCAGTGTTTCTTTACAATGTTGTAACAAAGAATAGTGCTGATACATGTTGGGGAACTCAACACAAGGATGCTATTTTTGGCTGCTCTATTATCCCATAATGTTTAAGTCTCTCCAAAATGAGTATGTGTACTTACTGTGCTAAAAGATGTTGTGAACTGAAGGAGTTCTGCTTTGATTCAGAAGGAAGTAAATCATATTTACACCCCAGTTTTAAATCCTTTTCATAAAGGTTAGAATAGCTTCTGAAATACTGGTAATACAGGGAAGGTGGCTTTTGGAGCAACTAGCATAGAATACACAGTGCCGTTGAACAGAGGGTTAGAGCAAACAACACATGTGAAAACTAAGCTACAAAACTGTTTGCTGTAAGAAAAGCTAAAAGCTCCTGGGGATACTAGCTAATCTGACCTGAGAGAGTTCATACCCAACCACAAATATTAGGATTGGTTACAAACCTGAGCAAATCCCTTCCACAGAAATAAAGGGCATGAGCAGTATATTCATTTCATGCAGCAGGTTTTACACCTTCAGGAGTTGTCCTAATCTCAGGATAGCGGAGCATCCAGTATGGCAAAAAATACATGATGAGGCATCAAGACAGAACTTCATCCTTCTTTGTGGTCTCTGTGTATTGCACATAAGGACCCTGCACATGCATGCATCCTGTTTCAGGAAGATTCCATAACTAAAATTTATTTGTCAAGAACCCCTTCCCTGACTTGCTGTGATTGGATTGCCATCCAGTCCTCAGTTCTTCAACCACCATTGTAGTTCCATCAGGAAATTCCCTCTCCACTTTCCATAGCTTTTTTTTAATCTTTTGCCCTTTGTCCCTTTTCCTATAATTTGCTCCTTTCTCTAGCTTTTACCCTGTGAAACCTCTCATGTCCTTTCATTCCATTCTGTCCGTCCAGACACACACACACACAAAGATATTACCAGTCCACTTTTCCCACTTTCTCACTCAGTGTTTTTCTCTTCTATGTACCATCTGCCTTCCTGATCACCTGCATTTAATGGCACTCACACCCCCTTTCGGAAAGTGTGCAAACTGCAGCAGCAGGCTATCACCAATGGACATGCGCTCATGAGAGGGCCATGTGTGAACATCTGCTTGCATTGCCAGGCTTTCTCCAAGCAGGCCAAGAAACACAGGCCAGCTATCTCAGGGCTGAGCTCTTGAGCAGGGCCCTTCGCAGAAGTGAACTGCCCTTGCCCATGGACCATCATCTTGGACTTACCACCATAATCGTCATGGACACTCCACTGCCAATCAATTGAAATCATCAAGGCAAAGAAAGTCCCAGGTGACAGTCATGGCAAACCTGGCTAAGCTGAAGGGCCACAAGAAATGTACAAAGGCCTGATAAGTTGAAACCACACACAAGGCCCCTTCAGTGCTGAGAACTGTTGAATACAACCCTCCAATAACAACAGCTGCACCCCAGCTAACCATTTTGATCTCAGAAGACAAGATCTGAGAACCATTGCCTCTACCACCTGAGTATGCTCCATCCTGGCCTTGGAAATGAGGCACATGTCTGGACCAGCACTGACTTTGCAAGACCCAATGCACCAGGAGACCAGCCACTGTGGGCACTGCTTGTTTTCACCTGCCCTACATAAGCACTCTAGTGAATTTTGTTATCTGGGTACCAGTCATGTTCCTCTCTTCCCGACTGGGAATGACAGTCAGGCTGGTCTTTGCCTCTCCCTCGCAGAAGGCCTCATGACCCTTGGAAATACTATTGTGATCATTGACAACCATACAACCATGGGCACCATGGGGAATGCTACATAATCCTACCTCACCCATCCTGAGAAAGGGCATACAGGGCAAGACCATCAACCATACACTCATCATGGGACCACCACACTGCTACCAGGACCTCCATAGTCTCATAGACATGACCTCCAGCCCCACCAGACATCCAACCACTGCAGTCTGCCTCAGTGGTCCCAGGACCATCAACTGTCAGGCTGTGCTTACTATCCTCAGATTCCACTTAGCAAATCCACCTTACCTGAGGAACTCTTGGAACCATCTACATGGCAAGGCCCCAGGCCAAGTGGAGAGTAAAGAACATGGTGGGAGTGATTGGCCTCTTCCAGCACACTGGCTCCACTCATTTTGGCCCTCGCATGAGATGAGAGCCTGTATCAAAGATCTATCATTCTATCATGAAGGTGGCTTCAACACCAGCACCAACAAACATATGAACTCCATCCAAAAAGCCAGAGCAACTACATGCAAGATGGGGCTGAAGCAATCTGCTCCAGGGCCATATTCTACGTTCGTCATATAAGTGGCACAGCACTTCCTACCAGTCCTACCACTTGAGGTCACAACTTCTGTGGCCTCAATACACAGACCCCCTCAGCAGTCAAGGTGAAGGGATAATGCCCTGTGCCTCTGCCAGGAATGCCAATGCCCAGATGATCTCAGGTGCCACCTGCAACTGCTCCAAAGTCTCAAGTTCCTCACCTGCTCAACTTTTACCATCACCTCCAACTTTTCCTCCAATCCTGCTCAACTTTTCCTCCTTCACAGAACATGGCTATTGGATGGAGTTTGAGGTCTTACTGCCCCTTGGCACCATACTATTCATGGCCTGCTCCAAGGTCCTCATAGAAGAGGTTGACTCCCTTCTCTAGAAGGGAGCCATCAATAGGGTTGTACACTCAGAAGCCATATTGGGTTTTCATGGTGCCAAAAAGCATGGGGGGGGGGGGAGGTTTGCCTGAATCTGGACTTCAGGAATGTTAACTGCTTCATAACACCCCAAAAGTTCCAAATGGTCATGCTCCATAATATTCTACTTCTGCAACACAAAAGGGACTGATTCACATTAGACACTTTACTTTCATGTTTCTATCAAGGACTTGTACAAGTGTTACAAGTTCGCTTCTGGATCGGAAATGACACCTTTCAATTTGTCATCTTCCTCTTTGGCCTCACCACAGCCTCCCAGGTGTTTACAAAATGTATGGCTGTAGTCTGCACACAACTGCCTCCAGGGAGTCCAGATCTACCTGTACCTGGACAATTGGCTGATCGTCACTCCAGACAAGCCGCAACGCGGGCCACAGTGACAGCATGTGAACTGCTTTCCTACCTGAGACTTAGTATAAACCAGGAAAAATCCTTTCTCTCACTCTCCCAGTCAATCCTTTCATTAGAGCCTGGCTAGTCTTCATCGCAGCAAAGGCATACCTATCAGACTCCACTGATCTGCCCTGACAGGGGGGACCTCCAGACTACTCAGCTGCTCAACCACCACCACTGCCTGAGTCCAGAGAGTCCTTGGCCTCATGGCAGCTGCAATAATTGTTCCTCTAGCCAGACTCCACATGCACTCACATCAACTCTGCTCCATTGGCACCTTTGATCCATCAACCCCAGAGAACCTGGTTGAGAATCCCCAGACACATGCAACAAAGCCTCCACTGGTGGACCAAGTGCCACAGCCTCACCATGGGAACTGCCTTTTCCCTCCTGAACTTGAGCCTGACAGATCACCACAGATGCCTGCCTCTCTGGCTGGGGAGCTCATTGTGACTGACCAACGATTTGGGGAAAATGGGACCCTCACAATGCCAGCAAACACATTAACCACCTGGAGATGCTCACAGTGCAAGAAGTCCTCATAGTGTCCCAAATCCTAGGCCAGGGACACTAGGTTCAGATCGCTGCCTTCTACAGCTGTCCAGTCAGTTATACCTTCCCTTTCCCCTCATGTCTCAGGACCAAGGAGCAGTCCTCCATCCCGAGGTCTACATGCTCTGCATCACAGCCTGGAGAATCCAGCCTCTGCCACTATACTGGAGGCAGCCCTGAAACCTGCCATAAGATGCTCCTACTACATCAAGTGGAAGACCTTCACTGATCCAGCAGGGGCTTCTCTTCATGAAGTGCCTCTTTCAGTGCAACCTCAAGACAGCCTTCATCCATGTCTGTGTAGCCATGATCTCATCCTTCCATGCACCAATCAAAGGACTCTCTCCCTTCTTTCATCCCGTAACTTGCCAGTCCCTCCAGGAATTTGTCCTGCCAGGCCAACCCCCCCAGCACCAGCCTGGAGACTATTGGTTGTCCTCCAAGCCCTCAGTAAAAAGCCTTTGAACCCATGGCCACTGCAGACCTACACCTACTCTCTTAGAAGACCATCTTCCTAGTAGTGGTCACTTTGGCCCAGTGCTGCAGTGACCTGGCCACACTATGGGCAGACCCATCATAGCTCATATTTCACAGGGACAAACAGTGCTCTGCCCAAACCGCACCTTCCTTCCCAAAGTGATCTCTACCTTCTACCTCAACAAGGATATTTTCCTGCCAGCCTTCCTTGCCTTCCCATTGGACTTGATAGAAACATCACTACACTCCTTCGACAACAGAAGGGCCCTAGCCTTCTACAAGTCCCGGACCAAGCCCTTCTGCCTCTCACAGATTGTTCATATGTTATGGCAGCAGAAACAAGGGACTTCCTGTCTTGTCACAGCAGCTGGTGGGATGTGTTGTGTGAGCCATCTCCCTAGCCTATGAGCTAAAAGTACTGAACAGGCCCATTCTACAGGAGTGACAGGGACCTCCACAGTGCTAGTGCTGATGTGCGACTGCCTGACCTCTGCAAGTCACCTGACTGAAACTGTCGACCTTCATGAAACACTTGACATCTGAGCCAGAGTGGACTGTGCTTTCAGCAGAGTGGTCCTGCCATCAGTTCTTCAACAGTGACACTTATCCACCTCCATTCCCCACCTCCTCCTCACCAGTCGCCTATATGTGTGATGCACAGAGAACACGAAGAAGGAAGTCAAGTTGCTTACTTTTAACTGCCATTCTTTGAGTGGTCACCTGTGCATTTTCACAAACGCATCCTGCTTCCCATCTCTGGTGTCGCTTTCTTTTGGCACTCTGTCCATACTGTGAACTAGGTGGGTCCATAGGTCCCCCCTTCTTTCCTGGCATGGGGCCACAATATCAGTCTTGCCCTCTGAACTGAGGATAGGGCAGGAACCCCTTCCTCACAATGAGTCAGGAGAGGGGTTCCTGCCAAATAAATCTTCGCTATGGAATCTTCCCAAAACAGGTGTCATCTCATAACTATGAGCCACCCAGAGGTGCTATAGCACACTTTGGTGGCATACAAATGTTTTAAATAATAAATAAATGAATAAATGTGCAGAGCCCATTTGTGTGAATGCTCTTAAAGAATAACAGTTACAAGTAAGTAACTCTACTTTTCCAAATGACCCATGTGCATGCAACAACTGCAGCCAACTTAGGGCCCGATCCATACTCCTTACTCCTCAAATTGGCAGATGTGGAGGACAGAGTACAGCCTACTGTATCTATTTCTATATAGAGAAGGCTATGGGTTAGATCCATACTTAGTCACTCAGTTACATCAGTGGGACTTGGCAAACTACCCTTTTTATTTCAACAGATCAATTCTAAATCTGAATTCTAGCCATTATATGCTCAGTACATACTATATACTGTGTGTGTGAATAGGGCTACAGTTGGTGATAAAATCTTAGGTTTTTTCTCTAAAGTTAATGCAATTCAAATTTATGGCAATGCTTTGTTTGGGGCATTTAGCAGTTCTTTGCCAATTGCCTTTTAAGTCGAGAATTATGCATCAGTCTATAATGACAGCAATTGTGTGGTACCTTGATAGCATGAAAGGGTTTTTGCAGTTTAGCTGTCATGGAGAGACCTTTCTTATGACAGTTGCATCATGTCTGGATTGTCCCTGAAAAATAAGCATTGGGGTGGTGGTGGTGGCGGCGGCAGCAGAGGCTGTTCTCTTGTCAAGGTGACAGGTAGTGGTAATTTTTCTATGACATTTTCCCCTTCTGACAAAAATAATTATTTCTTTGCTTCCTGCCAGTTTGAGTTCAGTTGATCTTTCTTTTCAGGTCTCAACATAACTACTTGAGAATCACCCGTATCCTGAAGAGTCTTGGTGAACTTGGATATGAAAGTTTCAAACCCCCTCTTGTAAAATTTATTCTTTATGAAGCTCTTGTGGAAGATACCATCCCCAACATTAAGCAAAGTGCTTTGGAATATTTTGTGTATACTATTAGAGACCGAAGAGAGAGGAGAAAACTCCTTCGATTTGCCCAGCAGCACTACATGCCCTCTGACCATTTCATATGGGGACCACCAAGAAAATTGGAAGGAAGCAAGCCAAATAAAAAGCTGCCATCCCCAGTTTCTCTTCGCAGTAGCTGTGCTCCAAAACATAAAAAAACAAAAGACTGCAAGAATATGTTCACCACTTATAGCTCAAGCAGTAAAAAAACAGATGAGAAAAAGGCGGAACATATTAAAAACAATGAAGATAATGATCAGAGTAGGAAATGCACCAGCGCTGAGGTTGCCAAGCAGAGCAGTACTGAAAAGAACAATCACACTGAATGTCACAACTCCAAGCTGGAAGAAACGCCTAATCCTGTGAACCAGAAGGAGAATGCTTCCCATTTAAAAAAACATAAAGGCAAAATGGAGGAAAATTTCAGCCAGGACTGTAGAAACCTGGAAGCTGTAGAAAATGATTTCTGTGACAGTAAAAACAATTCAGTTAATATAACAGCAGATCTGCAAGACAATGTAGGTAAGGAGAAAAATCCAATAGGATCAAACATAAAAAACAAAGAGGAGACTCAAACATAAACTCAGTTGTTTGGTCTTTTGCTGAACATAACAAAATGGTGCAGTTTCTCACTTGCATGAAACTGGAAAAGGAGAGGATGATCTTGATACTGGGTCTAATGCTGAATACAGCAGCTTAACCTCTAAGGGGTTATGGGTTCTTTTATTTGACTCTGTTTACTGTTTGCACTTTTCAAAGCTGTGTATTAAGCTTAAAAACTGCATAACACTGAAGCCTGAGAAAATTCATTTGCTAAGATGGCTGTCTGTGTGGACACACCTAATATGATTTTGGTTATCCTCTTACTCTATTTCTTTTCTTGTAAACCTTCGCTAGATTTTCAAGGAGCCAGAATGAGAATATCTGCTCATCAGATAACTACTTAATGTATCACTATTTTCAATATTTGTCATTGCTTAAAAATCAAGAAAGAGGCAGATGCAAGATTTACCTCCATTCAAGATGTACCCCCAGGTTCAAGACCTACCTCAGCTGTGCACTGAGCTACATTCTCTCAGTCTTAGATCCCCAACTGATAAATAAAAATATTACTAGTAATTTGCTGTCCAGGGTTAGCATGAGAAGAAAAAAACAAAGATAGCAAATCTCCTTTAAAATTTAAAAGTACTTTACAAACATCTAGTAGTACGATTCAAACACCAGCATTCTTCCAATATTGTCTCTTCCCTTGGTCTCCTCTAGTGCAGTGTAATAGGTAATGTTCTAGATTTGGGAATGTAGGATTCAAATGCCTCTCAGCTATGAAACTTACTGCATACCCTTGGACAAGCCATATCCTTTTTATCCTGGCATATTTCAGCAGAGTTCTTCTGAAGATAAAATAGGATAACGCTATGTCTGCTATTTATGAGCTGAAAGGCAGTATATATATTTCTGTGTTTTCTTCTGCTTCCTATATTTTTCCTTTCTTCCTCTTAATGAAGAACTCTTCCTTCTGTCCCTTCCCTTCCTTTTTCTTCTCATGCATCTGCACACTTCCTAATAGTTTTTCCCATATTTATTCCAGGATAGGAGTAGGTGAGAATAATTCCATCTTCTGGTAGGAGAGAATAATTCCATCTAAGATGATTCACTTGTGCAGATAAAGGAAAATAGGGGACAGAAAAGAGTTAAACACTGTAGAGACAAAAGGGTTCTTCCAAATGGATGGCTTCTAACATTACTAATGAAAAGGCATTGTGCTGCTGTTCTGTCTTTCCCTCCTTAATGGACTTTTATAGTAAGAAAAAGGATGGAAGAAGCAATGGAAAAACGGGGGAGGACTACAAATAAAAGATGACATTGCCCTCCCCCGCAATAAAATTCTGTGAATTAAGCCTTATCTGGATGTAATCAAAGAGTTAATGAATACGCCTCTCAGAGCACTATATTCTGTTGAAGCCACAGGACATTGTCTTGTGATTAAGTAACTAATCTCACCCTAGGCAGCTTGGACATCTTTGCCAGGCTGAAAGATGGATTTTTTCAAATACAAAGTGCTGGTGTATGACAAAAACAGTTGTCTGTATGATTTCTTGGTCTTGTCATATGGTGATACAATCCTGTCTTGAAAGGAGGAAATGGTTTTACTTGGAAACCTGCCTCCCCTCCTCTGTCATCTCCATTTGGACAGACTTGGACCTGGGAGACCTGGAAGCATATGCACTCACATTCTATCTGTGTCACTTCAGAAAATTCCTCTTCTAGTACTGGGAGAGCATGGAAGAAAGAGAGTTTGAGATTTATACCTTGCCCTTCATATCCATTATCAATTAATGGAACCAAATACAAAGCTGCTTCCTATTGCAAAGTGTTTGCAGGACTGCTGGAAGGCCCTTGCCCATCTTTATGGCTGCTCCTTGCACATGTGTGTGACACAGAAATAAAAGAGGCACAAGCAGAAACTAACAGGCTGTAAGTAATATTAGTGCTACCCATTGAAATGAATGAGTCCTAAGTTAGACTAATCTTCATCTTCTTTCCCTGCCAGCACTGATTTTACAGCTATGGTAGCTGATCAGGCAGCCCATATTTAACAGGCTTGCAAAACAGGATATATCAAAATATGCTGGACCATTAATGTGGTGGCTTATCCCATTTACAAGTTTAAAAAGACTACAGATTTGATTTTTTTTAAAAGGTACTGTCTAAGTATGATTAAACTTCCTTGTGTCTTCGAATTCACATTAGCAGATGTCTTCCAGGCATGTGGTATAAAGGGTGGATAGGTGGGAATTGGCACAAAAATCTAGAGCTTTAGACCATTATAAAAATGGGTATAGAAATGTAATGAGTAATATTAATAATTATTAGATGTACCATCTGAGGCCTGGTTATTCACCGTGTGTGCTTTACTAACCATCATTCATGCACACACCTCTTTTATAAAATCAGAGATCTTTACTTGACCTGCTTTCCTAATGCTGCATGCATGAAACAAGGTCCCTTACTCATCTCAGCCATCCTTTAATCCAGTCAATCTTCGCGTACAGCACTGACTAGCAAAAGAACTGTATGTCCACACAAGAGATGCTAGGACAATTTAAGAACTTTTTTAGTGAATCAAGGGATGCAATCTCATACTCACCCTGTGCTGAGATGAATATGTGGGCTATCTATCTGCTTCCAAGCTAAAACAAGATAGTTTTAACCTTTAAATTCCAGTGTGGCCAAGGGCCCTGTATACGTAAGGACTGCTTCTCCTGCATGAGCCCACACACCAGTTAAAATCTGACAGTAGCATTGCTTATGATGCCAACACTGTGGCAGCTAGGAATAAGTCCTTTTGTCCTGTTTGCACTGAAGCTTGGAACATTCTGCCTGAAGACATTAGAGAACTTGCATCATGGGTGGGTCAGATCGGAAAGAGTGAAACCCTTTTTGAGGCAACATTTGGGCGATTTGATTTGTTTTTCTCTCTGGATTTGGGAGCTTAATTTATTTTCTGCAATTAAGTGGTTTAATAATTGTTACTGTATTGCTTGTTTGCTGTGAAGCACTTTGTGGTTATAGAAAATTAGCCTACAAATATTTTAAATAATATACAAGAGAAGGAAAGTTGTTTTTCAACTGTAAAAGTGTTAATATAGTTGAATGGAGAAAAAAGATTTCTATATTCTGTTATCTGCAGTAGTATAATAGTTTGGTTGAGTTGTTTACCTAAATGCAGTGGCCAGGATCCAGTCTTCTCATGTGAAAACAGCAAGTGCATCTGAATGTACATATAGCAGGAGGGCTTTATTTCATTTTTCTGCAGCCCTTTTGCTTAATGGTGGGGCTTCTGATCTTGGAGAAATTCAAAGATCAGAGGGCCCACCAGAGCATCGCCCATGCAGTACAGGAGTTACTGAATATAAAGCCACAAGATTTAAAAAGACCTTTACAGTTGAAATCCAACATGCTGTGTGTGCACTTGCCACACTCAAGTTTAAGTTATTTGCTGGCTCACTCTTCTCATCTGGACAGTGAAGTGTGCAAAAAAAAAAAAGTTATTTTACTACGTGTCTGCAACAGAGCATATAAGATTTTCTTAAAAATACTTATGTGACAGGAAGTATGTAATGCTTCTGTTGTAAGAGAAAATGTATTCTAGTCATATTGTAGAAGTAGGTGCTTCATGTCTATTTACTTTTTCCCCAAGAAGTGCTTTAATTGTAACCCCATTTTGTGTGTACTAGGTAAAACCATTTCACAAATGCAGGAATATATTTTAATGTTTAGGTTTTGTTCACCAAATCATACAGCACATTGTAACCAACAAACATGCCCATTTGCCACACTTAAGGAACAGTTCAAAACACATGAGACTAAGCCTTATTAAAAATGGAGAGACTTAGTAAACTGACATAGGATTGTGCTCTTAATTGTCAGGCGTACAGGATTCAAGGACTATATGTAGGTGAATCTAATATTTGTAATTGAAATCCAATGCCATTTATATTAAGTGTGTCAAAAATGATTTTATAATCAACATCCATCTCTTGAGTTTTAAAAAATCCATAAGCCTACTGTCTTGAGTTTTTTTTCTTCTGTACTTTTACTTCATATGTTAGTATAATATTAAGAACTTCCAAGGTATTTGCTTAGCTCTCTTTAGTTTTGTTGCTCATGCATTGATGAATTTGTCCTTCTCACATAAAAAGTATAATACAATATTCTAGATAATACATATCGCTAATGTAGCTTAGTATATTTCTTTCCTCATTTCTAAACCAGTTTAGAAGCATCTCACTAGAAACAGGTTTCTGGAATAAGACCATTTTACACCTAATTGGTTCCAGATTGGCATTTGCACATTTTCTTTACCCTTTGAAAAGAGAGTTGAAGTTTTTATTACTACTTTCCTAAGTTTGTTTTCATGCCAGTCCCAACTTGCTTGAAACTGCAGCACTTTAATTTTGATAAAGTATGAAATATGTTTTTGTGCAGTATTTGATTGGCCTCTCTATTTTCTAGGGATGAGGAAATATAATCTGGTAAAGGTAGACTCCTCCCCTGATCTTAAATTCAACAGTGGATCAGTATGTGAAAGTGAACTGGTAATTTATTTCAAAAAAGTTTCATATAATTAGATACATGAGCTCTCAAGAGATCATTAAACAAAGATGCCTTTGTTTGGTGATCTATTTACCAGGAGTAAAATGTGTATCACAGCTTGCAAACATTTATATGGGGATGTGAACCAGATTTGGATTTTTCTTCAAGTGCGTGCCATAAAGGAAGCATCTTTACAAAAATGCAGTATATGAATGCAACTTCATGAACTGTTGTCCTGCCAGCTTTCATGCCGCACATCTCCAGTATTGTTCACCTGCGTAGCAACCCATATTTTCAGGGCAAAATAAGATGCCTGCACAGATTCCAAATGTGGCTTTCTCTGGAATTCACTGCTTACTTGATAAGGAAGCAATCTCTATACAAAATGTATCACTGTTTCAGTGACGTCTGCTTGTTAAGACTCCTGTGCATCAAAACCATTTTGAATGAGACCTAATATTGCAATAGTCCTATTTATTAGGTACTAAAATACAGTGTTTGGTGGGTTGGATCCATATTTAATTGTACTTGGATTAGGCCAATTGTTGTAAGGCCAACTGATTTCATTATTTTGGACTGACTTGAGTCCTACTGAGTCGGTGTGTCTTTTCTGTTACTAAGTTTGGATCCAACCATATGCCTCCGAATATGCTTGAATTAAATGAGGACAATTCTAGTCTTTTGTTATATTACATATATAGAAAGTCACAATCTTGAGATTATTTTTATTTGTGAAATATGATCTAGTAAGATAAATGTAATGGAGATAGATAAATGGAAAACAGGAATATGTTGAGTAAAATAAACCTTATCCGTTTTAAGTAGACTTGTGCCTTTTTCCTACTAATTCTGTATTGGCTTTATAAAAGGGAAATGATCAGATTAATCAGCATTACTGTATTAGAACTTTTAGAATAGTTTGCTTTCTCTGTTAATAGCTGATTCTTTATTCTAATACTTGTGACAGAATAGCATGTCTATTCTTACTTTTAAAATACTATCAGCAACTTCATTGTGAAGAAATGAAATGGATATTTTTAAAACATTATTTTTAAACCATCAGAACATATTTAGTAAATTATCAGTTTCTGTTCACAGAAAATCTATTCCTTGAAAAGGTAGTATATGGATTGTTTCCAGATATGCCCCTTCCAGAAGGGGCACTTTGATCCAATTGTGGTTTCTGTGAGAGAGAAGGTGATTTCCCCCTGCAAATCTACTTCATATTTTGGAACAGCATAGGAGAGGGTGCCAGCGTTGGAAATATATCCAGAAAACATTTAAGTGCACTGGACACCAGTAGTAAGACATCACTATTACTTACTAGGGCAACATATGTATCTAGTGAAGTAAAGGAGCACACATTTCATACATTGCTGGAGCTTAGTTGAGACCGTTGCATCCTACTTTACCTTGCTACCCTTTGGGAAGAGCACACCAGTCCCTTCCCTCCTTGTATTTTCCTTTCCTGCTTTTGTGCAATAAAGTTTATTTATCAATATTGTTTTCTAGTCCTGACAGATTTTTTCTCATTGGTTGGGCCCCATTTTCTATTACATAACCCATGTATAAAATTGCATAGTGTAAATCAATCAGAACCATATTACCTAA